ATAACCGAAAATATATAACTATTTGATGTCTTTTAATAATTGTATTGTGACATTTTGTCCGTCACTGTGCGGACTTGTCGATGGCGCGGCGGAGCGGAGCTCCGGAAGAAACTTGTAATTGCCATGTAATTAATTCTATGTTATCATATTTTCTCAAATATAATTGTTCTTATTATTACGCTCTCGCGTAGTTTATTCTTGTGGCCTATCTCTCTCGTCCTCCGATAAATTTCCCACGCCTCTTGTGACCCACCCCCTGCCGTCGCGAAAACGTTACGGGCAAAAGTGAGGAGATTTCGAAAAGAGTGGCACGCTCTCTCGTGCCTGGCGCCCAACTTAGTAATAAGAATTACAATTCTGGCCGAAGAACCGCCTGGCTGTCGCAAAATTCTGCTACCGAGGGAGAGAAGATACTTTTGCGTACTTTGAGTACCGAGAACACGCGACGAAGTTGTGCCGTTGCTCGCGAGTACGGTTACAGTATATAAGTATGATGTACACACCTTCTGTATCTGAGCGTAAATTTAGACTATTTTGTTGCATTAATAATGAAGGCATTCAGATATTAAATGTTTATTCAGAAAACGCTCTTCATCTAGAATCGCGACATTCTCCCAATCGAAGTCATGATCAAATTCAATAGGATGTTCTGTGATCACTGATTGGTTGTTATTATTCCGGTTAATATGATTGCGGTGCTCAGCCAATCTAGTTTTTAGTTTTCTTTAAGTCTGTCCGACGTAAGAGGCATCACAAGATTTACATGAAATTGTATAAACCACATTTTTTTCTTTTTTCTCTTGAGAGAATGTCTTTATGTTCCTTGATCAAACTATTTAATTTATTTAAGCTAGTAAAAACTAATTTAGTACTAAAGGTTTTACTAATTCTTTTAAACTCGTCTGAAATTTTTGGAACATAAAGTAGTACAAACCAAGAAGTACAATCCCTCTTGATTTCGTCACTTGATTTTTTTTGTTGTACTTCTATGAAAGAGAATTTTTAAACGTGCATTAATAGTATTAAAAATTAAGTCAATAGAATCATCATTTCTTAATAATGTATTAGGTGTACAACTTTGCTTCCGCCGTTTTTTTTTCCGAAATTCGAGGCTTTATTGTAAAAAACTGGTTATACATTTATTATTCAAAGTATTGTCCATCGCTGGCCACTATCTCCCATTTTTCGGGCAGCGTACGAATCCCGCATCGAAAAAACTGGTCATTTTTTGAGGCGATCCACGAATCGATCCAATTTTTTACTTCTTTATAAGACCTGAAATGTCAGGCAGGCCGTGTGCCATTGATCGAAACAAGTGATAGTCAGAGGAAGCAACGTCTGGAGAATACGGCAGGTGGAGTAGAAATTCCCATTTCAATGTTTCCAAGTATATCTTGACCACTTTCGCAACGTGGGGTCGAGCATTGTCATGCTGCAAAATCACTGTATCGTGTCTTTCGTTGTATTGCGGCCGTTTGTCTTTCAATGCTCGGCTCAAACGCATCAATTGCGTTTGATACCGATCGCCTGTGATTGTTTCAGTCGGTTTTAACAGCTCATAATATGCTACGCCGAGCTGGTTCCACCCAAATACAGAGCACGACCTTGGAGCCGTGAATATTCGGTTTGACCGTCGACGTGGAAGCATGACCGGGAACTCCCCATGATTTTCTGCGCTTGGGATTATCGTAATGAACCCGTTTTTTATCCCCAGTCACAATGCGATGCAGAAATCCCTTCCGTCTTTGCCCTTCAAGCAGCTGTTCACAAGCAAACAAACGCCGTTCAACATCTCTCGGCTTCAACTCCCCTTGGGTACGGCACCCAATTTCCTTGCTTCTGAATCATTCCCATGGCTTTGAGGCGTTTTGAAATTGCTTGTTGAGTCACTCCCAATGATCGTGCCAATTCTTCTTGATTTTGACACGAGTCTTGATCAAGTAGTGTCTCCAATTCTGCATTTTCGAAAACCTCTCTTCCACCGCTATGCCGGTCTTCGACGTCAAAATCACCGTTCTTGAAGCGTTGAAACCACTTACGACACGTTCTTTCACTAATAGCGGCCTCACCATAAGTATTTGAGAGCATTCGATGAGCCTCAACCGCAGATTTCTTCATATTGAAGCAGAAAATTAAAACCTCCCACAAATAACAAGAATTTGGCTCATAAACTGACATTTTCAATGGAGAATGACTTTATGATGCAGACACAAATCGACTAATGTTTCTATAGGGTTATGTTGACAGATGCCCAAGTTTATTGTATGACGTCTATGATCTATTTATTTCGACCACCACTTACGCTAAAGCCAATGATAGGAAAACGGCGGAAGCAAAGTTGTACACCTAATACTAACAATATGTTCCAAATTTTTTTGATGATACTTCGGATCTGATAATAAAAACGATCTATCTATCATATCTATTATTATGTCTCTTTTTTGTGGGAGTGGGTGTGCCGATAAAAAATTAAGGTATCTTCCCGAATACGTAGGCTTATGGTACCACTCAAATTTAATTAAATGATTATTAATAATAATAGTAATATCCAAAAAATTTATTTTGTCGTCACCAAATTCTAAGGTAAATTTTAATTATCATGTAACAAATTAAAAGTCTCAAGTGTAAAGTCAACTAAATTTTTTGGAACTGCCATAACGATATTATCCACGTACCGAAACTAAAACAAAGATTGAAAACCCAAGGTCTCAAATGCCCTTGCTTCCAAATTCCTCATTACTAAATTGGCTAATATTGGAGAGAGAGGCGACTCCATAAGGGTACCAAAATTTTGTTTATAAAATTGATCATCAAAACTAAAATAAGTTGAATTGAGTACCAACCGGACACCCAACATAAACTCATCTTTCGAGATATTGATCTTATCTCTCACAAAATTCCACCTCTTATCAATACTCTCAATAGCCAATTCAATAGGGATATTGGTAAACAAGGACACTACATCCAATGAAATTAAAACGTGTTCAATTCCAAAACGCGTCCCCTTAAGTCTTTTTACTAATTGAAAACTATTGTCAATATTGTAAACCTGACATGTCTTTCCCATTATATTAAGTGTATTAGTTATGTTTCGTTCGAGCTACGATCAATATGCGTTTTTAATTTGATACTTTTTAGTGAATATTAATTGTAATTAGTTGATCCAATGTTGAGACGAATTCCTTCTATGTTTTGGGGTGAGTCACCAGTTTTATTGTTAATTTGAAATTTGTCCAATAGCAATATTTATAAGATAATTTTAATGTTTTGAATAGATTATAACATCAAATCTATTAATTTAATAGTGATTTTTTCTTTGACATGAAGGGATTGATATTTTAAATTTGTTTTGCTGAAGATGGTTCAAAGTGAACTGAAATGTATTATTTTTGGAATAAAGATTTTATTTTTGGATTGAAGAATTAAGATTGCGTATTAATTACCACGCTGACTCTCATTCGCCCTGGTTTTGGAGTTTTTTATTGTTGAATTTGGGAGAGTCCGTAAAAAGATTACATTATTATTGTTTGATCACTTTGGTTGACACTTATGGTTAATCACGGATCGGCTTAATCGAGTTGGTGAAGCCGGTTCTTTGTACATAATATCAAATGAAAAATTAAAACCCAGATTCTACAAACTTAACTAATCAAGTTAAATTCTATCAAATTAAAAAATAAAACACAAATGGTACTGTCTTTTGTTATTTACCCAAACTTACCTTTTTAAAAAAAGGTAAAAAAAGCGCTAATCGTGCGTGCTTTTAGTAAAAATGATTTGGATCGGTTTCACCAACGCCAATTATTTAATTCGCTGTGGAACTGACTAATCGCGTTTGCTGTTTAGAATTGACCACTTATGGTTGACACTTACATGTATGGTTAATCACGGATTCGGCTTAATCGAATAGATGAAATCGGTCCTTTGTATATAATATTATTTAACTCTAATGATATAACATATATCATTCATATAAATATTTATACGGTTAACTCTTTAATTTTTTGTGATAACACTTAAATTGAACAAGGTAACGCAATTTTGTGATAACGTTTTGTATATTATTTTGAAGGAAAATTAAATAACCACTACCTTAGTTGGAAGCGAAAATGTCTTTGTGTGTGAATGAATTGTGACATAATAATTTCATTTAAGAGGAATTTAAACCGTTTGGATTGGAATAGGAAGATCCTTCAATAAGATTTACGTATACTTAGGTTTTATTGTATAAAAATTAAAAATAGTATTATTTAAATTAAGTAAATAAAGAAATAAAATTTAATTTGACGCCAGTTCTTGATATATCAAATCCTTTATAGGAATGATACATATCATTAAAGTTAATATTATTTGTTTAATTTGGTATCCAAATTACATGGAATTTAACTTGGCGCCAATTGTTGATATCAAATCTTTTTTACAATCGATACATAAAATTTTGAGGAATTTAATTTGGCGCCAATTTTGTTGATATCAAATCTTTTATATGAATTTACACAAGAATCATACAAGCATTTAAGATCCAGCTAGACTTAAGGCTTTGATTTAAGGCTTTGATTTCTATAGTTTGTATCAAAACTTTGAGTCAGTAGAAGTTATATATACGCACATATATGTAAAAATCACGTTTGTTTTTTCTATACTAAAAATTGTATATATATATCTTGATAATCACTGGCGAGATAAACTCACATATAATACATGAAAAAAGTTTTTGAAAATTTTTCAAGCTTAAAAAAGCGTATGTTATATTTGATTTCTGAAGTCATGTCAAAATGGAGCGTTTTATAAAAGAGTTTTATCTCTTATGCTTGCAGCACATGATGCTTGTTTTCTTGTTGGATTCCTAGCTGAATTAGAATTTTGCCATCAAATTGGCTGCGGTACTGATAGGATTAGCATCATATTCAATACGATGGTAAAAATTTATTCTAGCTAGCAATCCAGCAAGGAAACAAGAATCGTGTGCCGCCGGCTTTAGAAAGATTTATTTTTTTTTAGGACCTGGGGTTGATGTTCCTGCTCCCGATATGGGCACCGGTGAACGGGAAATGTCTTGGATAGCCGATACTTACGCGAAAACTATTGGCCATCTCGATATCAACGCTCACGCTTGTGTCACTGGCAAACCCATCAATCAGGGTGGCATTCATGGTCGCATTTCTGCCACAGGACGTGGAGTGTTCCACGGATTAGAAAATTTCATCAACGAAGCTAGTTATATGAGCATGATTGGTATGTTTATGAATTGATTAGCTACTTTATTTTAATTTTCATTTATACAGGATGCACGAAGACATTTAATTATTGTATTAAAATTGTATTTGTAGGGTATTGGTTTTTTTTAATTCTGTGAGCAAATTTTATATATATACTTCATTGAAATTTTGTTAGGTGTAACCATACAGACTTCTTTAAATAGATTGCTGACTCAATGTGATAGAAAGAGATGAACCAGATTCTGAGCTATCTTCTTTTGTTTCTTGTATCTTACACACATGTATGCATTCTATCTGTGAGTATACGACATGAACTAAGTAGTGATTTTTCATGTGATTTATATATGTGTGAGTATGTGAAATTAAACATGGCGCTACCCTACGTCTGTCCTCTAATATGGCGGCGAAATTGACAGTCTATTTATAGAAGTCTGTGAGTGGCATTATAAGTCAGGATTAGTCGAAGGTGAAGACCATAGACATATAAGATAGACTCGGCATTAGTTATATTTACTTGGGTTTAGCAGAACGGTGCGAAAGGCAAAATATCGGGGCAATCTATTCTCTGTGCGCGCATCTTGACAGTAAACTTTGGTAATATTCAAGAATTCTACCTTCCTCATCGATTTTGACGAAATTAGGCTCATTCGATGCGGTTTTGCACGAAATGAACGAATTTGGCAAGACAAAGTGACGCTCTGCTCCGTAAACCGAAATATTAATCGTTGAAGTTAACTATTCAGGTTAGAAAATCTTACATCAATGGCATAGAGCATGAGAATGTGTAAATTAAGCTAGAATAAATCTATTTTGCTTTAATCTCATTAAAATCGGTGAGGAAGGTAGAATTCTTAAATATTACCCTTACTTTTATATCTTATTTTATTTTTTTCAGGATATAAATGTCAAGATGCCTGCGCAGAAAAGGATAGATTGCCCCGATATTTTATCTCTTGCACCGTTTTGCCAAATTCAGCATATACTATAGAAAAGTATATGGATATTAGGTCTATCTTATATGTTTATGTAAGGTGCCATATCAAATTTACTTTACATGTAACATTTACTCAGGGTTGGGAAGTAATGCGTTACTTGTAACGACGTTACATTTTCGTTACTTTTTTTGTAATGATTTTGTAACGCCGTTACTTTTTTTTATTAGTAACGAAAAAGTAACGGCGTAAAAATTTATTTATTGAGTAACGAAATCGACCCTGTTACTCTTGTATCGTTACTTTTTTATAGGTCACGGCCGTCACGGACAATATAAGATTATAGATAAATAAACTAAATATACCAAAAACTTTTTGCCTATTTTTGTTTCATTCAATATGCTCGCTTTAGCATAAGAATAGTAAAAACTAAAATATCTATTATATAATAAAATACCATAGAATTAATCATAAGTATGTAAAATATTAATGAAAGATAAAAATGTTCAAAGATAAATATCTTTCTAAATATTTCATTTCATATCATTTCATATACTCGTACTTTGTTGCAATGTATAAAATTTATACATAATAAATGGCAAGACATCAGCAGAACTGCTGTTACAAGTCAGCCAGTAAGACGATTAAACAAGACGATTATTACATTAGATATAAAAGAAACATAAGCTCATGAAAGATAAAAATAATAGTCAAAAAATAAACAACCTGAAGAACGAAAAGAAATCTGAGAAGGAGAGTCTTTAACGAACGGTGGGAGCATGTTGAAGTATTTAGCCGAAGTATAGGAAAAGACTGCACGGAATTTGGCAGAGCGATGAGAGGAAACAGATAGGAAATTGTGAAAGCGGGTGTCAAGGGGTTAGAGGAGGAGCGAAGTTCAGAATTAAAATGCAGAAGATGAGAGAATGCAGGTAAGGAGAGGTACTGGATCTGAGGAGACAGAAAATAAGACAACATAAATGAAGAACAAAGCGTTGCCGGATTTTAAGCCATCCGGAGCTTACGTACAGAGGAGTAATATGATCAAATTTACGCACACAATATGCAAAACGAAGGAATTTTGGATATGTTGAATACGATTAAGCAATTGCTGATTAAGAGTAGGAATATATACCATGTCGGCGTAGTCGAATAAGGAGATAACCAGCAATTGCGAGACATGAAGTTTTTACGACGTAGAGAGAATATGGTAAAAAAAAGGGATAGAGGAGACGAAGACGAACATAAGCAGCTCTGTACTTAGTGATCACATGAGATTCGAAAGACCAAGACGAGTCCAGATGAACACCAAGGATTTTAATAAAGGAGGAGCAAGGAATTGGAATAGAGTTTATATTGATATTGAAGGATTGAGTACGAGGATACGATTTAGGATACGAGATAGTAAAACAGATGAGCCAAGGACGAGTAAGGAAAATTTGGAAGGGTTCAGATGCAGGGCATTAGCCCATATTGAGATAGCGTTCAGATCATTATTGACGGCCGCCGAAGCGCTCATAATTCTTGAGGGATGGAAGGATTTGATTAGAATTACGTTATCAGCATACATAAGAAATGTTGAGGAGACAGGAATAGAGGATAGATCTGCAACAGAAATATTGAAGAACAAAAGACCAAGAATAGATCCTTGAGGTATTCCTGAGGGAACAGAACGAGAGAGGAAAATTAAGGGTATGGATTATATATAAAAATACGCTGGGAGCGACCTGTAAGGAATGACTGAAGTAATAATAGAGCTGATTGATATAGATATCTTATATTTAATTTATATTCTGTCTTAGCATTCTGTCTTAGAAGCTTATTTTAACATTTAAAAAAGTATAACTATGCAGAAGACAGGCTTATTCGATTTTGATAAAATTAGAGTCGTTCGACGCGTTTTTGCACGAAATGAATGAATCTGACAGATTTCTTTACCTCAATAGTCATCAATTTTAACCATTAATATTTAGTTCCTTCTTCTGCCTCGGTTCGCCGGACAGAGCAATACTTATTTTTTCTGCCAGATCCGTTCATTTCGTGCAAAAATGCGTCGAATGATCCTAATTTTATCAAAATCGGTGAGTAGACTTGTCTTTTGCATAATTACAAAAAGAAGTAACGGAAAGTAACGATTTTTTATCGTTACTTTTAAGTAACAGTAACGTGTTACTTTTAAAAAGTAATTTTCCCAACTCTGTTTACTTACATGTATTTTGAAGAAAATTAACAGAGAACTAGTAGAAAATTAATTTTTAAAGACTCGAAAATTATCTTTAATGAATAACATTTAATATGATCGTTTTCTCTTTTACAACCTTTTGGAAACGCGCGATTATGTCTGATTATTTTTTAATATAGATCTTTAGATAATGATACAACTGCATGATATGGACGGAAACGTTTTTGAATCTTTGCCACACTTTTTGTTTCTGCGAAAAACAATATAATATTTTCACTTTTTATTCAACACATTAAGTCACTGTTCATTGTTGGCCATTTCATAAACTGATGTGAACGCCTTCACTTTCTACCAGTTCCGAATCATGATGCTATTTTTGACAATTTTTACGAAGTACGGAATATGTTCATGTAAAACAATTTGATATTCCACAAGTACAGTTTTAATGAGATAATACTAACAAATACCATTTTGCAACATGAGTGTGAATAGTTATTTCTAACGTATTTTTACATGTTGAATACGAATCTGTTGACAAAAGTTGGTTATTGCGTCACAATTTTGAACAAAATGACTTAAAAAAAAAACAACGATTTTGAAGGTGCAGCTAGTTTTTGCTTAATTTCATGAATGCTTTATCAAAGTATCAATTTTTAACTTTAAAATGCGTCCTGGTCCATTTTAATATGATTTTTTGTTTCCAAGATACAAAAATTTGTAAATAGATACTATTCTTTTCTCATGTTCAACACTGTTCGATAAAATTAGCAGGTATGTAAATATGAAACCGAAATTTACCAATAGATGGCCATAGCTGTCAATGTAGTTGCCGTCAGACCGCGTCATTGACGCCATTTCCTTGTTCTGATATCTGACAAAGATTTTCAACTCACAACAATACAAGTTTCATACAACAGTATAGTTTGTAATAGCGTTGAACTTTGTGCCTGGAAACTACGATTTGCGGACAGCATTGATTTTCTGCTACCATTTGAAGAAAACTGGTTCAGAATCGCATCGAATGCTTGTCGAAGCTTATGGTGAGCATGCTCTTGGTAAATCACAGTGCTTTGAGTGGTTTAAAAAATTCAAAAGTGGCGATTTTGACGTGAGAAACGAAGAACGTGGAAAACCACCGAAAAAGTTTGAAGACAGCAAATTGCAAGCATTGTTGGATCAGGATGACACTCAAACTCAACAACAACTCGCAGATTAATTGAATGTGACACGAGAAGCAGTCTCCATACGTTTGAAATCCATGGGAAAGATCCAGAAGATGGGAAAATGGGTTCCATATGAACTGAATGAAAGACAGCAGGAAAACCGAAAAACTACTTGCGAAATGCTGCTCGCCAGGTACAAAAGAAAGTCATTTCTCCATCGAATTGTGACTGGTGAAAGGATGAAAAGTGGATATATTTTGAGAATCCTAAACGTAAAAGATCATGGGTAACTCCAGGTGAACCATCGACATCGACTACAAGCCCAAATCGCTATGGACGGAAGACAATGCTCTGTGTTTGGGATCAGAAAGGTGTGATCTATTACGAGCTGCTAAAACCTGGCGAAACCGTTAATACTGAACGTTACCGACAACAAATGATCAATTTGAATCAAGCTTTGCGTGAAAAACGACTGGAATATCAAAAAAGGCAACACAAAGTGATTTTGCTTCATGATAATGCACCATCACACACAGCAAAACTGGTCAAGGAAACGATTGAGGCGTTTAGTTGGGAAATACTTTCGCATGCGGCTTACTCACCAGACTTGGCTCCGATTACTACTTATCGATAGGATACGCACTTGCTCAGCAGCGCTTCACTTCTTACGAAGATGTACGAAAATGGCTATATGACTTGTTTGGCTCAAAAGAGCAACAATTTTTTTGGCGTGGCATCC